TGATATAACGTGTGTGCTGTTTGTTTAAAATACAGAAAAGACAGATTCAGTATTCATAAGCTATGTAAGTGGTTTCTTACCCACGTCTGTCCAGTACAATAAAGAAAGAGATCCTTGAAAAGAAAAATTGACAGAACTGAATCAGTGATTATTGGAAGATAACTTCCTACGAGGAAGTAGATTAAATATTTTCCAAAGTTATTATATGCTGTTACTAAAAAAATTAGTTGGTACCAATTGTCTGTGCATTATTTTTTTATTTTTGCAACATCTTAGGAAACAATGAAAAGAGGTCTACCTGAGCATCTTAGTTTATGGGAATTTTTGTAGTTCTGGTTGCACGCAGTTCCTCAATCACATACTAATAAATCAGAAAGTAAGCAGCAACTCATATTATGTACTATGTCTGTAGAAAAGGACAATATAGGAGATTGCCTGTTACGTATTCCCATGTGCTTTCCATTCATTCTGTACTTTAACCCAAACATTGTCCGCTCTCCAGCAGCCTTTCTGAAAAGCTGTTTTTTTGCTGTGTGTCCCCAAACTCCATATACATGGCTGTTGTGAACTCTTTTGTGGAAAGAAGATGTGACCCCGGAGTGCTCCTGCTCATAGTAGTCAGGAAGCTGGTATGCCTGAAGAGCAGAACATGTGTGCACCTCTGTTGCTGTTCAGTTCTCTGAAATAGAAACCAGGCTTACTGAAATAAAGGGGGATGAGGAGCATCTGTATGTTGGTGGGTTTGGGTCAGTTGATACTGGATTTGGCTGCCACAGAAAAGCCCATGGGATTCCAGGTGAATCATGTTTCCTGGAAACTGAGGTGTATGTTGAAAGTTAGTTTTGAGATTATTTATCTGAATGTAGAGGAGTATATGACACCAACTAGGGACTTACAGTAGTAGGGGTGACATAGGCTGTAGTATTAAGGCTACTGAAATTTAGATTTTCTTGGCTGCTGTGGTCTGCTTGAATGCTCCAGCTGGTGCGCAAGTAACTCGATGCCTTATGCACACAGGGGCAAGAGAGCAATCCTTGAGAGCATCCAGAAGTGTTTGCTATTAGATCTGAGTACCTTGATGGTCTTGAGAAAAATGTGTCCTCAAATTATTCCCCTGAATGTAAGGGGAGCAGTCATCGCTAATTTGACTCTTAGCTCCAACTGTTCATAAAAATTGCAGGACTGTTTTTGTAGCTGTGGATGACCCCCAGTATGGTAAAGCTTTAAGACTGTTGGCAGTCACAGAACAGGACAAGAAGTAGCAGCCTCTCCGTACTGTTCTGGGGACGGATGCTAACTGGACTGCAATGTTGGTAGGTTCCCCTAGCTCTTTTGTACCTGCTTCACCATCTATATACTGGCTCTTAGTTGTTATTTTCTTACAGGCTTTGCCACCGGTGTTGCTTGCTGTATAAACTGAAAGAGGGTAGGGAAGCAAAACCACTTGTAATGCTGACAGGGAAGCTGATTGCTGTGAGGTGTCTGAAGAAGAGCCGATCCAGTATGAAGGGGAAGCACTTTCCCTTTACCCTGTATGAATGTTGCTGGCCATAAGAGCTATGGCTTTGTGGACTTGAAAGCAGGAACGTAAGTGGCATTTTTCAGAGAAAGAGGTGTGTGTGGATCACAAAGCGGGGAGTAATACTTTTTAAATGAGGTACATGCTGTACTTAAGTGCATTGAAACGATGATTTGCTACAAATTGTTTATGACCGGACTTGGTATAAGTAAAGGAACTGGTAGTAAAGGTGATACTTTTGGCAGCTAACTAATTGAGAGTTACCGCTGATCAATTTTTCTGCTTGTCCTGTTGAGAATAAAGTACAGCTGCCTTGATATAGCTGTGATCTGTAGATTGCTTGCTGCAGACATGTCTGGTTTTGCCCTTTGTGTTAAGGACAGGGATAATGTGCGAATTTACCCACTATCATATAACCATACCACCATTGGCTCTTACCTTATTGACTGGGGCTTCACTGGCAAGATCTTGGGTCAGCTGACTACAAAATCTGAGTATGGCCCAAAGCTAGAAGAGTTGATCAATTGAGTGTGATTCAGCTCCATTTGTGAGCATACTTGCATTCATTTCTTTAAAAATTTAGTCCTTGACTTTACTTGTCATTTTATGGATGCTAAGGCTGTTGATTGAGAAGAGGTATAGCATAAAATTAATAAAAGAAAATACAACAGGCAGGCAAAACAAGAGTGACACCTGAAGTAGAAGGCTGAAAAGTAAAAGAGGAAAAGGTTTAAAGCCTAGCTTTTAATAGTGATTTAAAAATAGATACAACAGTTACCTTAGTCAGATAGCTGTGACAGTTATTCTAGAGCTTTCAGAAGTAGGGAATGATGATGCCTGTGTTTTCTTTTTTGGGGAGGGAGAAAAGGGGTCTAATTTCTTCACTTCTACCCCGTCCTTTCTTGCTTTGTGAAAGATTAGAGCTTTAATTTCAGATCCTGCATGTATCTCTCTGTGGGTGGATTCTTGCAGCTCCAGAACCTCATTGTAGGGTGCTTGTTGAACCAGGATATGGCATTACTGCTTTGTTAATGTCCTTTTGTACTGTATGCTGAAGCATGTTCTGTATAATGCTAAAAATACTGACCCCCTCCTGCAGCTCCCCTTGCCGAAAGAAAACTGCAAATGCTCAAAGAAGTGCAGTTTGAGCTGCACACCTCACTGAAAGGTTAAAGTTACAACTAAGTCAACTAGGATTTCAAAGTTAAAATTCTTTTCTACCTGATTTTGGTGATCTGATGGTCTTAATGTATACTAAAATGCATTTTAAACATATTTGGTACCCCAAAGTTAGTGCTGATTGGTACTGTCTACATTATGCCTAAACAGCACTAGTTGAAGCACAGTCCTAAAAGAAAGCAGAACTTCTCCCCACCCCAAAAAACTCCTCAAAAATTTTTCCTTGTCATATTTTCTGAATGCTGTTTTGTGTGCAGACACAAAGGGAGTATTTTGAAGAAACAGAAGAAAATATTGACCAAGTCAAAGATCTGTACTGAAGAATGGATTAAATAAATGTTTGTGAGTTGTAAGAACCAAACAACAAAAATACTTTTCTTTCCAGAAACATTCCATCCTATTTTGATCATCAACAATAAAGTGGAAAACAACAATGAAGCTATTGAATGTGGAATGCCAATTGCAATCCAAGAAAAATGACAGTATAACTAAATAATGCAAATTTCTTTGAAAAAAAAAAAGAAAATACAGTATTTCTTTATCTGGAACGTTAGAATTCCAAATGTGTTCTAAATGCGAAGGTAATTTTTTAAACTTAAATTGCAAAATAAGAGAATAAGTTCTGTTGTCCAAATATGAATGTGTGATAAGTAACTTTTTATTAAAACTTAGGGAGTTTTAATAGAAACTTCAAGTCTTAATAGAAACTGAATTGCTTCAATTTAGCACTGCAGGGCAGACACTGAGATGTTTCATAGATTCTCCAAATACTGTTATTAAGCTTGACATGCTGGAGAGTATCATGTGTTAGGTAGAATCAAGATTGAATCCCAAAGGTACATCCTTAAACTGTATAATCAGATTCCCATTTCAATGTCACTTTCATCCTTCAAAGAATAGGTGCTTGTTTCGGTGATGATTTGTCATTAAAATTATGTCAAAACGTCTTAAAATGTTGTTGAAACTCTAAACAAACTCAGAGCACACACAGGGCTAATTATGGATGCCATCTGTTTATTTTTACAAAGCCTTTTTCCTAAAGACCAAAGCATCTTCTTGTTCTGATAAGCCACAAGATTATTGTAATGGCTAAATGTTTTCCTTAGTACTAGTGCAGTTGAAGGAAGAAGGACAAGCAGTTTGGTCGCTGACCTTTTCCTGTGTGACAAAATGTACATAGTACGACATCTCATGATAGAGAAACCGTTATGAAATGCATTTTCTTAAGGTATTTTGGCCCTCGGAACACAAACATCGTATAATAAAAATGGCAGTTCTGTCATAATTTCTGTATGGAAGGTCTTACAGCTGTCTCTGTGTGAAGAACATGCTTTTAGCATGCCTATCTTCTTACTTCATCTATATGGCGCGCCCTCCTGTCTTTGGGTGCTTTTTTTTTATTGCTCTCCGTCTAGTTATAAAGTTAATAAATGTGTCCATTTCTGTGCCCATTTGAAGGAAAAAAGCGTGTTTGTGCATATGCGCGCGCACGTGTGCATGCTTGTACGCACATGCCGGGGTTAGTGTGAACGACGGGTATTCCCATGGCAGCATCATCCAAAGCCGTTAGCAGCAATTTGCTGAGAGCGCAGAGTGACTCTGCTGGTCCAGCCCAGCTATTGTGCATGCTAAGCACTAAACAGATAAGTCTGGAGGGGGGAAAAAAAATTGAAGGATCCATCTGCTCATTTCTGCTACACTGCGCTGATGCAAGATTACGCTAATCTGGTTGCTTGTCAGGACGGGTTAGTGAAAGCAGGCGAATGGGTGAGATTTAGGGTAGGCTAGTTCTGTGGAAAATTGTAAGCAGCTCCTGCATGTGCCATGTTAAGTGTAGCAGAATGGGTTGATTATCAGCTACTTTGAGATTTTCAGTGAAAATATATTTATGGTTACAGTGTCAGTCTTTTCAAAACAAAATCGAGTGGGAAAAGCTTCTGAACAAAGAAAAATGAACTCATCGTTGAATTTGTAAAATAAATGGGAAAAAAAAAAAGAACCCCAACCCACTGCAAAAGCCCAAACCCTCTTAGGTGTTCTCTGTAGTTTTCCTTTTGTATGCTGCTCCTAGTTATCGTAATCTGTTAGTTATTTCATTTTTTGGGGTTTCCCTGCGAAGAAGGTGGTTGCTGGAGTTTGTCAAGTAGAAATTTTTTTGGGAAAAAGACCAAGATGGGAACATATTCTTTGTCTGGTCTCATTTCTTGTTTATATGTGTGTGTTCACGGAGCGTGTTTTTTGGTGGGGGTTTTTTTTTTGGTTGTTTTTGTTACCTACTGACTGACAGTTCTTGACCTTGCAGGTTGAACATCCCGTCACAGAATGCATTACCGGCCTGGACTTAGTCCAAGAAATGATCCGTGTTGCTAAGGGTTACCCTCTCAGGCACAAACAGGCTGATATTCCCATCAACGGCTGGGCGGTTGAATGTCGAGTTTATGCTGAGGTAAATGAGTGGTAATGGGGAGGAGGATAGGTGGTTGAATTGTGGAGTAATAATACCCAGGTGTGGATAAATGCCAAGGTGAAGTCAAGGAATATCCTATGAAAGTCACGATTTAGAGTATGTAACACAAATGGTTAATGAGCTTTTGTAGAATTGTAGAATTTTTATTTTTTAATTCAAAATACAGTATGTATTGCAACATACCTTTTTTCTGAAAATCAAAATTAAAAGTGGTAAAAGATGTAACTAAGGCTTATTTCTAAGAACATTTGCTGTACGTTCTGTTCATGTTTAATGATGCAGTGCTGGAGTTACTTGCTAGTTAACTAGTGTTTCCAGGTTTCTTAACTTGTGTACTTGAAACACATTGTCTTAAAAATACAGTTGAAAGTCAATGGCTTACAGAATTTTTGTTGTACTAAAACATTTTAATAGGTTGCTGAAAAAGCAAGTTATCTATCTTCTGAAACTACAGTTTATAGGACAAACTTTCAAAGTGCACTCCAAGACAATAACTTTATCATTATGGTATGACTCTCTGTCTCACCTTAAAAAAGCTTACTAAAATATAAAACCCATTTTCACGCATGTTTAAGACATTTCAAGGTAACGTCTTTTTGCTGTCATTTTTGATACATGAAAATCAAGATTTGTTAATTAAAAAATTGATGCTTAACTTCCTTCACTTTGTTTGAGGAATGGTTTAGGTAACTGTGCTTTTAAAAAATAATTCAGCACCTTGAGATGTTTTTTCCCTCACTTAACTATTGTGGCTTTTGTGGCCCAGGGCATCTTACTTTATGTTGTCTTTTTCTTTCTCTTCATGACATGCACATAATCTTCAACGTGCTCTAGTGATTACAAGTTATATGAACTATTTTGATAAAGAATAAGTATTTGCCCTGTGATTGGCATGGAAGCTGTTCTGAGTATGAGTAGGCTTTACCCTGGAGTAACTGATGCTCGGGCTTTTTTTTTGTTTAACTTAAGATTCCTTCACATTTACAAGTAATGGATCCAACTACTTTGCCATGAGTTTGGTTATTCTGTAGGCCATGTATTTATTTGCTGTCCTATTAAGTTTATATTGGTATTGCATTATGTAGATTTCCAAAGGCGTAAAAGTCAGTTTGATTTCATAAGATAATTGAATTTCTAACTGCCCTTTTTATCTCTGAAATTTTTTTTTCCTTATACTCTCTTCTCAACTCCACCTTTCTGAATACCTTCTTCCAAGGCACAATGTAGCAAATGAAAATGTCGTCTTTGTATATTTTGGTGGTGTACTGTAGCTATGTGTAGGGCACTTCTTCCCTGCTTTTTCACTGCAATGCAAGAGAATTTGTATGCTTCCAGTTCTTTATTTGGAGGTGCAGGGGTAGGTGGATGGAGAAAATGTACTTCAACACAAGAAATTCTGGGGAAGAAAACAGTTATTCCAGCAGTGGTTTCTGTTAGACTTCAAGCTTTTTAATGTCACCTTCTCCGCATCTGTAAAAGCTTAATGCTTTCTCATGTTGAATTTTATTTCAGGACCCCTACAAATCTTTTGGCCTGCCATCCATTGGTAAACTGTCTCAGTATCAGGAACCGTTGCATGTGCCTAATGTAAGTACTTGGTTCTGGTTTTCATAGGTGCTGAGTGTTTCTTTTATAGGCAGAGACTATAAGTGCTCGGCAGATTTGTAAATCAGGCCCTTTTTTCCAGCTTTTTGCAAGGGGGGGACAGGACATGGCAATACTTATTTGTGCAGTCTGAAAAACTGCTTAAAAGCATACAGTTCCAAACTGGGTTTAAAATGTTCAAATGGGGTATAACAAGAAACCATTATATGTTGAAATACTTTGTTACGCTCTGTAACGTTCAGCTTAAGTTTTTCAAACACAGCTTTAGTAAAAATACCATGGTGATTAGAAAGGACAGTGAAATGTTGAGTCAGCTCTTTAAGCACAGAGAACTGGGGACACCAGTGAGAAACTGCCAGTGCTTTCTGTTTAGCTTTGTAGACTTTACAGAGGAAATTGGTTACAGCGATTATTACACGTTTTAGGATACAGTCTAACTATATGGAACAGCTGTTTAACAAACAGTGTTTTCTGCTACGTGTAAAGAACAAAGGCAGCACCTTTCTGTAAAATCGAGGTAGTCGAAGTCATAAGTGCCCATATACGTGACGCGATGTCAGTTAGTGGAATGACAAGGCTGAACCATCTGTGAATACGATTATTTAGTCTGATTGCTTGCACGGAAAATAGTGAAAGATTACAGGAGGAATCTTAAATGTGGAGATGTTATTGGATATATGATTTATTTCGCTTCTTAAATTGTTTTTGCCCGTGTACTTTCCGAAGGGACCTGACCCTTTCTGGTCTTTAAGGCTTCATGCTGTGTTCAAAGCCTGAAAGCAGAAAAAAATTGTGAAGATCTAAAAGGCATTATGTGATCTTAAAGAGGAGATGAGGGGAAAAGGTATCATTGGATGTATCTAAACTTTTTTTTTAATGAAACAAAGAGTGTATTTAATAAGAATTTATAATGAATACTCCAGTGGCTGTTAGAAGTTTTCACCATGTTGTAATAGCTAACAGGATGTCAAACATTTTGCCCTTGCAAGTTTTTGCAATTTGCAATTTTCCAAACGTGAGACCTGTTGAAAGTACAAGTGATAATGGACAAACTATACCCCCTACAGTCTTTGTCCCACCAAATCTTTCTTCAATTAATGCTGCAGCAGGAGTTTTATGTAATAACATTTGCGCTTGTGAGCCATCCATACAAAGAAAAAACAATTAAAATGCCTTAAATGTTCTGCTTACTGCTGTTATTTGCTTGTGTGAATGTTGCATGTCAGCTAAATGGACCACGGAATAGATAAAGCGATTGGGTGCAGGAGAGTGCACACTAAGCTTTGTCTATCATTATTGCTGGGAGCAATCAAATTGATGCCAGCAGGACAGTAGACGCGTTGACAGCTGTAATTATGTATCTCCATGGTGATCACTTTTGGCCTGTCATGGAGGCCCATGAGTCCCCTCCCTTGCAAGCATTTAATCAGATTGGGCTGTCACTTGTCAGGTAGACGGGGTGGGCTGGGAGTTGTGCTTAGGCGGAGAGGTGAATTGAAAATGAAGGGTGGGAGATGCCTGATCGCTTCACGTGGTCCATCGTGGTACTGAAAAAAGAAATTTTAATTACGCTGGAGGCTTCAGAGCAATGGTTTGAGGGCTCACATGGAGTGTCTAGGCTGTTCTCTTTCTGTTTACTTCTATTGTTGTATTAAAAATAGAACAGCTATTTTTATGTAGACACTCATGGTTTGGTGTCTTAATACATATTTTTCTGCCACTGTGAAACTAATTTCTCTCCTGAGAATGTCATGCCGCTAAGAACAAAATTAATATGACTAAAAAAAGTTCAGCGTTACAGGCCCGTTGTGCCACAGTGTTTGTTTTCTGCATTTTAGATTTTAGAATTGTCAACAAGTTGACTTAAAAAAAATTAGCAGAGACTTGTAGTGTGTCACAGCGTGTTTGGCTTATGAACAGTGTATTGCCAAATGCATTTTCAATTCACTTCTTCTGTGTTTCAAGTTAGCTCTGATTGTCTACCTGTGCCCATGCGTCAGCTGCTCAAGCTGGTGGAACTGGTGTGCGTGGCTGTGTGAAGGTTTTTTCTTTTTAGATGGGAATATACTGGCTATTTTTGTGGTATGTAGTCTGTAATTTTCTTAGAACATGGTACTTGTAAATATCAATTTTTTTTCATCTTTGATAATGAAGCTTAAGATAACCACAAAACCCCATATTATGATAGCAAGCATTCATGTTCGGTGCTCTTACACAACATAGCAAATATGCTGCCATATCTGAAGAGCTCCAGCGTTGCTCTTTGCCAGTATGATGGGCAGTCTGGTCTTTTAATGACTCTCACCAGAAAGAAAAAAACTCTCAGACTCTGATATGGTAAAGAATTGAGACATACTAGAACATGTATGTGTTGGTAAGTGGCATTTGATGCGCTAACGGTTCATTGCAGGATGAGAACATACATTGTGCTTTTTTTTTTTCCCCTCTTAAGCTTTTTTTATCTTTCAGTTTACTGTTGTCCTAGTGTAATAACACGTAATGGTAGTACAACAGCAATAAAGGTGTTGGGGGCTGTAATACCAATGAGCTGTAGGGTACAGTAGGATCTTGAACCATAGCCTTCCTTTGGTATTTTAAATACTGAGTAAAAGAAAGGAAATATGTTAAGCAGAAGTAAATGCTGGAGGTCTAATAAGTATTTCTATAATTTATCAAGTTAAGCACATTATAGGGAGTATCTGTTGAATTAGGGTTTCTTTTTCATCCAATATTCATTAAGTTCTGTCACACCATATAGTTTATAAAATCACCTACTGTTACCAGGCTCTGAAAATGTAAGCACCACATAGAGAATTGAAGATGGTAAATGTATTTCTTTTCTGCTGTCTTTGTTTTAGTCATCTTTACTTTATTTTATGAAAATAAACCTTCTACTGAAGACTCCAGATTTTTTTTTTAAAAGGAAATTATGCTGTAGTTTTTAAAGAATTTTCAGTTCTCACTGTAATTTTTCATTTTTCAGGATATTGTACTTAGGAAAAAGTGTAAATTGTATAGTGGTATGCATGTATGTTGTGTACCAACAGAAACACAGAGCAGGCGGAGCATGTAGTCAGTAGCTTCAGAAGCCTTACATTAACTTCAAGGTCTGACTGACCTGCTTACTCTGGGTCTGAATTATGAACCTTTCATATGTGTTTTCCTTTGTCAAAATATGATATACATGTGTAAGTACTTACATGCACATGCATGCATATGTAAAGCACCCCTGAACACTTGTAGGTAATCACTTTACAGGTGCTACTTCGGAGACAAAAGTCACAGTATAATTAAAGTATGTGTGGAGTATATATGTCGTACCTTCATGTCTTATATGTATTTATTGTATACTACAAAAAGTATTATGGGCAAGGGATTTATCTTGGACTGAGTAGGTAAATTAATTTTTTTCTGATTTGAATGTGAGAATGTATGCATTGACTTTATATAGAGGCAGACATCCTGGGAGGAAGGATGGTTTAGCAGTTACAAGAAGGGGAGCTGGGAAATACGCTGCATGTTTCTTCTGTAATCATTTGATGTCTGAATTACCTTCTCATCAGTAGCTAATGTTAAACGTACCTGATATGGGTAGTGGGGGGCCTAGTTAAGCACAGATAAAGCACATTCAGATAAGATGTGATAAAAATCCTACAGAAGTGCTACTACCTTTAGATATGAATAAATATGCTACACAAATGAACATAAATATATAAGAAATGATATATAAATATGTAAGTATAAATATATAAATGCAACTATATGAATAAGTATATGCTTTTTGAAAATAAACAGAACATAATGTCATAAAACCTGGTCAGACAGTGGTTTTTACTGAAGAAAGTGAGTACACCTGCTAGGGTATCTTTTCATGTCATTTGGATAATAAAGTCATCATCATGCCCTCATGTGGATTCTGTAGACAAGAGGTTCTACATGTGGTCCCTTGATAATTGCCTAAATTAAAATATTAAAGGCCTAACAGCCGTTGTGTTGACCTTTTTCTGCCTTGCTGCAGACAGATGAGCTGCTGTTTATTACAAAGGTTCCTTCCCACAGGTGAAGATTTAAGTGAGATTCCAGGACCCTCTTTCCTACCCCCTTTATAATGCAGTATATCAGAGCCCTGCTGCTTCAACAGCTTAGATTAGAGCCCTCCATCCTTATGATCCCCAGAATGCGTTTATCACTCTCAAGTTATTTTGATTAGTTTTTAAAAAATATTTCAGATTCCAGCACTCAAAAGCAGCAATTTAATAAATATTTATTCCCCAGAAATTGCTCATTTGAAAAGTTTTATATGGCTAACCTCATTGCTACAGTGATGAAATCAAACTGAGAGATGAAAACAAGAATCAGCAATATACTAACTAACTTGTTGGCTGGTTAACAGCAATCAGCCTCTTCAAAAGAAATTTTTGAACTTGTGTTATTTTTTTCCATGACTATTGCAGAATCAGAGCTTTAATTGGGGCTGTGTCCTTACAAAGCAAAGCCATGGAAAAAGCTGTGTAAACATTAAAGCCTCAGGGGAACAGCAGCAACAGAAAAAAAATGTTTTACAGTTGAGAGGGTGAGGCAAAGAAGGAAAGTGTTACAGGCATGAAAACTACAGGATCAAGTATTCCTATGGAGCTGATAAGCAGAGCT